CTGACGTGTACGCGGTGGATATCGCGATAGTGGAAGAAGCGGACAAACCGAGTGATTTTCAGAAACTACTGGCGGCAGTACCATCGGAACTACAGGAACTGTTGAAACGATTCCCGGGGATCTTCCCCGATGACTTACCAGAGGGACTGCCACCTCAGCGGGCGCACGATCACATAATAGAATTAGAGCCCGGGGCACAGCCAACCGTACAGCGGCAGTTCAGACTGACACAGCCCGAGCTCGACGAGCTAAGGAAGCAGTTAGATTACCTGCTGGAAAAAAAAATCATCCGACCGAGCTCATCGCCATTCGCCGCACCGATCCTATTCACATCGAAGAAGGACGGCAGGTTTCGCATGTGTATCGACTACCGAGCACTGAACAGGGTTACAGTTAAATTGCGATACCCCATCCCCCGCGCCGACGAACTGATAGATCAACCGCGAACAGCACGGGTCTTTTCGAAAATTGACTTACGGGGAGGTTACCACCAGATTAGGGTCGAACCGTCGGACTGTGCCAAGACAGCTTTTAGGACTAGGTACGGGTCGTTTGAATACACGGTGATGCCCTTCGGGCTGACCAACGCGCCGGCGACTTTCCAGATGACAATGAACGAGGCGTTTAGGCCACTCTTAGATAAATGTATGATCATCTAGCTCGACAACATCCTAGTCTACAGTTGGGATAAGCAGCAGCACTTAGTCGATTTAGAAGAAGTATTTACAGTTTTAGACAAACACAGACTACTGACCAAGGGTTCCAAGTGCGAGTTTTTTCAGGATAGGCTAGAGTTTTTGGGGCACGTTATTTCGGAGGCTGGAGTAGAAATCGACCCAAAGAAATTGGACACAGTAAAAGCGTGGCACCCCTCGACGAACATCACGGATCTGCAGAGTTTTTTAGGGTTTCGTTAATTACGTGCGCCGGTTCGTCCCCGACATGGCACGCTTAACGGCCCCGCTAACGGATTTGCTGCGGAAGGGGGTCACTTTTACGTGGGGGGAGAAAGAGCATGCTGCCTTCTCCACCCTAAAAAATGTATTAACCCGGCCCACAGCCCAAGTTCACGCCATACTACTCGCCCAGACCAGCCCACTGTTAACAGGCCTATTTACCCACGGTTATCAGACTGACCCATTTTTTACAGGCGGAAATTCGCAGCAGTTTGCAACAGCAAGGGGAGTCTATTACGTAAAAGCCGGCACTGATCGCATCTGGGTACCGGGCTACACACTCCTACGGGAATTACTGTTGCAGGAGGCACACGACGGAGTTACCTCAGGGCATTTCGGAGTAGAGAAAGCACGGCAGCAGCTGCAGCGGTACTATTACTGGCCCGAAATGTTGACCGACGTGCAACGACACGTGGCATCGTGCCCCACCTGCCAAGTCATGAAATCATCACGGAAGCGGCCGGCAGGATAATTGCAACCGATACCACCCCCAGAGCGTGCTTGGCAGCAGGTGACGATGGACTTCGTCACGGGGTTACCGGCGGGTGCAAGTAGGAACGACGCGATACTGGTCGTCGTCGATCGATTGACGAAAATGGCACACTTCGCAGCCTGCAAGAAATCAATCACAGCCGAAGAAACGGCCCGCCTCTTCATCGCAACCATTGTTCGATTACACGGGATACCAGCAGCGATCATCAGCGACCGCGATACGAAGTTTATCAACAATTTCTGGCGGAACATGTGGCAGCAGTTCGGCACGAGGCTGTAGTTCAGTTCTTCGTACCACCCCGAAACCGACGGACAGACAGAACGGACAAATCATACCATGGAACAGTTAATCCGAGCCACGTGCGACGACCCCACCACCTGGGAACAGCAACTGCCACTAATCGAATTCGCGTACAACAACTCGCCATCCACCACGACCCAACAGTCACCGTTTTACCTGAACTACGGACAAGACCCTACAGTACCCATGACCCCGAATCCCGACAACCCGGTCCCGCGAGCACAACAATTCGCAAAAATCCTACAAGAAGCACGGACCAGGGCAGCAGACGCAATTAAAAAAACGAACGTTATCGCTAAGCGCAACGCCGATTACCACCACAGACCCGTCACTTACCAACCCAACGACTTAGTTCTACTCGACACCCAAAACCTCCGCCTGCCCATAACTCTGAAACTCCGCCCCCGATATTGCGGGCCATTTCGCATCAGCCACATGATCACACCGGTCACAGCCCACCTCCTCCTCCCCGCTGACTGGTACGTCAGCCCCTCCTTCCACGTCAGCCTGCTTCGCCCCTACATCCCATCCACCAGCCAACTGGCCCGACATCGCCCAGCCAGCATGACTCGACCACCAACCGAGCCAGTCATCACGCCCGAAAATATTCTGAGCCACCGCGTTCGTGACCCACGTGGAGCCCGAAGGGTCCAATTTTTAATACGCTGGAGAGACCGCACGCCCACCGAGGACAACTGGGTTTCCTTGGACAAAATCGAAAACCACCCCGTCCTCAACGAGTACTTGCGCAGCAGAAATTTCAGGGATATACACGCACTCTCGTAAGGGAGGCCTCCTTGGGGGGGAGGGTAGTGTAAGGAAAATATATTTTCCTTATTTCGCGTCCCTGCTCAGCGCGTACAACACTGACAGCACCCCACAATTTTCCGTTACCACTCGCGACATTCGCATCGACACCAGTCCCGCCACTGTTCACGATGCGACCCAACCTCACGGTTCGGTTGGCAACCCGCCGCGCTCCGGACCTTCGCCTCGACAGTTCCCTAAACCTCGGCATCAGGCCCGTCGCGCACCCCATTTCCCCACGTTACCGTTACCACCGTAGTTTCGCTATATACTCTTCGCTCATTCCTTCGCTCATTGTATTCTTGTCTCGATAGTGCAAACCTCGCTCGCTCACTCAATCGCACTCGTAACAGTAATGCTGAATTTAGTAAAAAACGTCTATACGGCAAAACAAATAAATTCCTATCGCATGCTGTACAAACGTGCTGGAAAAGCGTTGACCAAACCCAAACCTAGGTCTCCATGGACACTGTATGGTGGACAACGGCAAGGCCAGTGAGTGGGTACAGTGAACATGCTGTCAAATTGCGCTGTTTCCCATGTCGTGTGTGTTGGACAGCCTGGTTGTTGGTTCCATGCTGGGCGTCGTTTTCAAAGCTTGCCGAGGAATATCCCAGCGGAAACGGGTCGTCAAGCCTGACGACCTGTTGACGGCTTGACGACATGCTGCCTCGGGCAGGAAAAAACTAAAGCCCTATCGGATGGCATGCCAACCGAGGGAGGCATCAACCCTAAATCCATGCCTCCTAGTGTTTAGGGTTGATGCCTCCCTGACCGGATGCATGCCCGAATGGGTTTTATTTGTTTGCCCGCGGGCAGCGAGCTCCCCCAGGCGGACTCGTTTGTTCCGCTGAGATATATTTGGAGGGATGATACACCTGAGGGAAATCCAAGCCGAGAAAGCCAACAGTGCACCAATCGGAGGCTGCCCCTCACCTTTCAACAGACCGAACCAAAAGTCGACTCAGCCAATGGGAGGCCCTGTAGGGCCTGCAAACCTTTGGCTCGGCCTGTTTTTGTGGTCAGTACTGTACTGTACGGCGTTTGGTCTGGTAGGTCAGACCGGAAGCTCTGGGCTTGGCACGGCCGGGTATGTGTACACTCGAACAATGAAGCATATCTGCGCGAAACCAAGGGTTGACGAAATGCTTCGCTGAACAGCTGAACCATTCTGAGACGACTTTTGCTAGGCGCACTCCATCCTCCATCCCCAACCAATACCAACAAATTCTCTTGGGTGGGTGGTTCGCATGGTAACAATCATAAGTGACGCTGAGAACCGTTTTTCTCTTGTAAAGAACCGCTCCGTACCGTTGGAAGATATGGTCGTTACCATGGATGTTATCCAGATTGTCATATTCGAGGGACATCTGCGGGCTGGAGGATCATGCGCCATGGCTGTGGTTGTTGGTCAACATCACTCTCCTGACTGATGCAACTCTGAAGAGATGGAGTCTCAGAATCGGAAGGGCAATCCCAAGGCTGGCGGCGAATATCTGTGGTGTGGTGTTGTGTGTCTGGTTCAAGGGCCATGGAGGTTTCTGCCATTGTGCAGCTCTGTGCAAATCGTTAGTGGTCGAGCGGGCTTCACCTATTCATGGAGAGTTTCAGCTCACTAACTTAGGAAAGGACGTGAGCTATAGCCAGTCCACAACGACCATCCGCCATGTTCGTCTGCATTTTGCGAAGGATGTGTCAGTTAATGTTTTGTATTGTGATCTGAAAATGCAGCTATTATAGACGCTGAGCCATTCTTATCCTGAAGACGGTCCATGACAGTCCCAGCATTTTCATTTCAGCACCCATTTCCTTAAAATCAGATGCTCTAGAAGCTTAGAGCTCGTTTTTTCCCCTTTCACGTCGGCTTTACTACCTTATTATAATTTACCAATGGCGATCTACAGTGACAAGCCTCTTTCCATACGCATGGGCGACGCGGCCATAGACGCGTTCACCGGTGCGCAGCCAGTCTCTAAAGTCCTCCGATACTACCCGGAGCATGAATTAGTCGCCATCAGCAACGCACGCGACGCTCGAGACGAGTCGCCTCCTCCCCTCCCCCCTGACCATCTACTCGTTCCGGGCCGCTCGTACTTACTTCTGCCGAAGATAAAACCGAAACCTACCGGCGGAGTTGGAACTGCGGGATTGCGGTTTCCGAAAAGTGCGTCCGTGGCCGTGGGAGAGACGGCGCGCGACGCGAGAGCCGGCGGAGAAGGCGGTGGGAGTTACAGCAGCATGCAGCGCGCTTTACGGAAAGCGGGATCTCAGGCTATGGAACAGTCCGACGTGGATCCGGCTCTATGCTCCCCGACAGAGGTGAGAGAGCAGCTTAATTCCTTATTTATAGAATATAAGGAGCAACTTAAGCAGGGACACATGCTTTTGAACGGTGGAATGTGGATCCAACGTCGTTCTTACAAAAGCTGTGGTAGGTCAACGAAATGTCCATTCATCTCATTGTGTTCGGAGCACGGAGAAAATGGACATTGCGTTTCTGGATAGTGCGAGAGGAAACAGTGGGGCGAGCTATACCTGGACGAATCTATAGCACAGGCGACGAGAACGGAAGAACGTGCCTCGTATGTCTTGAGACGTCTCAAATCTATAGCACAGGCGACGAGAACGTAAGAACGTGCCTCGTATGTCTTGAGACGTCTCAAATCTATAGCCCAGGCGACGAGAACGTAAGAACGTGCCTCGTATGTCTTGAGACGTCTCAAATCTATAGCACAGGCGACGAGAACGTAAGAACGTGCCTCGTACGTCTTGAGACGTCTCAAATCTATAGCACAGGCGACGAGAACGTAAGAACGTGCCTCGTATGTCTTGAGACGTCTCAAATCTATAGCACAGGCGACGAGAACGTAAGAACGTGCCTCGTATGTCTTGAGACGTCTCAAATCTATAGCACAGGCGACGAGAACGTAAGAACGTGCCTCGTATGTCGAACAAGTGCTCACGCTGTAACGCGCGATGAGTGGAACGCGGAGGCACACAACGTTCTCAGATTTCTCAAACTCTTCTAAAAGGCCTCAAAAGTGGAAGGGGAGAGGAGAAAGGGGGAAAGGGGGGGGGGGGGAGAGGGGGGAGGAGATCGGGGAGGAGGGGAGGTCACGCAAAGTTACGGAGGCGAAAGCGCCACACACTGATGCATGGCATTCCAGTTGCCACAAATGGAGGACGATACTGTAACCGCAGGCACGCAATAGCGATTGCAATGAATTTGACGCGGATGGTTGCGAGACGGAGGGTTAGAAGGAGGAGAAACTGCTGAAACGTCTTAGATAAGACGGAATCATCGGTTTATCAAGTCCCTCTTTAAAGCGGCAGTATACATTCATCTGGGTGTTTTTTGGGGGTATTTGTATTGCACACCCTTTGACACACGTTGATTCGCTTGCGAAGAGGCTCTCTTCCGGAACTGTGCGTGCGACCCAGTCAAACAAGACTGGCGGAACTATTCAGTTTCGCTAGGGACCCAGCTGACTCTCCTTACGCCCTTCCGCCTGCTTTGCGCCTAATCTCCTTCTCCCGTTCTCCCTTACCCCTCCCCCCCCCATTCTTGTCCCTTCCTCCCCCCTTGTTCATTTTTCATCTCCCCTTTCCCCCCCTCTCTCCCCAATCGACTCCCCAGGATCCGCCCGCCCCTCGTACCTTCAAGCCCGCTGCGCTTTTGTCCCTTCTGAAAAGTTCCCCTTTTTCCCTCGTTTCATCTCCCCTTTCTCCCCCCCTCTCCCCAGTCCACTCCCCAGGGTCGTGCCGCTCGTGCCTTCAAGCCCGTGGCTCTCCTATCCCCATTGAGAATTTTGAAAAGCTTCCCATTTTCCCTCGTTTCATCTCCCCTTTTCCCCCCCTCTCCCCAGTCTACTCCCCAGGATCCGCCGGCCGCTCGTGCCTTCAAGCCCGCGGCTCTCCTGTCCGGTCGCCCACCCACCCCTCCCACCCACCGCTCCTCCTATAGCTTTTCCTGCTCCCCCTCCCAACCTCACACCTCCACCTCGCCTCCCTCCCACCTCTCCTCCTCTTCCTCCCCGCCTCCCCCTCACCACGTCACTGCCACTGCGGGAAAAGGCCTCCTAGCAGCAGAAGCAGCAGGCGGCTCAGGTGAAAACCCAGGCGCGCGGATGCAGCCCTGGGATCAGGGCTCAGGTGGGGGGGGGCACGGGCCGTGGAGTGAGCTTGCCGCGATTGACTCTGATCGGTCTGACTCGAGCCAAAGTGAGAGACAGAAGCAGAGTGAGATGCTGAGCGGGCCGTGGGGTCAGATCTCGTCTGCCGGGCAGACTGATGTGTTTGTGGTGCGCCCTGCCTCGCCTTCGGAGGATATAGGAATCAGCGAGGAATCGAACGGTCAGCATGCTGCAGAGCCCCCGCAGAGATCGCTGCAGAAACTGCAGCAGCAGCAGAGTCAGAATCAGGGCCAGAACGAGAACGAGAATCAGGATCAGGATCAGCAGCAGCAGCAGCAGCAGCAGCAGCAGCAGCAGCAGCAGCAGCAGCAGCAGCAGCAGCAGCAGCAGCAGCAGCAGCAGCAGCAGCAGCAGCAGCAGCAGCAGCAGCAGCAGCAGCCGCACCCCCATCGCGTGCTGGTTCCCGTGATCTTCCGCTCCCGCCGCGGCTCCGCCCTCCGCTTTCCCCGCTCCGCCTCCGCATCTGAAGCCATGCCCGCGAGCACCTCCGATTCCGCCACTGATTCCGCCTCCCCCTCCGCCCTCTCCCCCTTCCACTCCCCCGCCCATCCCTCCCCCCACGCCACGTCCTCCCCCTCCCACGGCTCCCCTTCTCCCATCAAAGCCAAATTATCTTCTAAAATTACCTCTAAGCCGTTTAGTAAACCTGACTCCGCCAAGCCCTCCGCACAGCCCTCCGCGCAGCCCTCCGCCAAGGCGTCCGCGGGGTCCCCCCGCGAGCACGCGCGCGCCAGCAGCTCCCTGCACCGCAAGCTGTCGCGCACGGCCAGCGGAGGAGGCGGAGCGGACGGAGGGGATGGGGGAGGTAGTGCTGGGGGAGTGGGGGGTACTACTGGGGGAGGCGGCACTGGGACAGGCGGTTCTGGTGAGGGCGGTGCTGTGAGGAGACGAGAGAAATCAACGGCTGCTGGCGCGTCTTCGTCTTCCTCATCCTCCTCGCTGCCTCCTGTACCCTCCCCCGCGTCCTCGCCTCTCTCTCGCTCGCTCCATTCCAACACCACCCTGTCTAGAACGAATCGCCCTTCCTCCCGCGAGGGCAGATCTACCTCTGACCCCAGCAACCTGCTAAGCGCGTCTGAAGCTGCCGCTGCTGCAGCTTCTGGCAGTGCTGCTGCGGGTGCTACTGCTACCAGTCCTTATAGCACCAGCAGCAGCACGCACCGACCAAACAGCCGTCCGTCTTCCCGCGAGGGTAGGTCTACCTCAGACCCAAACAACCTGCTGAGTGTGGCTGAAGCCGCTGCTGCCGCGGCTGCTTGTTCCATCAGCAGCAGCAGCACTGCCAGCAGCAGCGGCGCGTTCTGTGGCACTGGCAGCAGCACCAGCACCATCGGCACCACCAGCACTGTCAGCAGCACCAGCAGTGGCAGCAGCAGCGGTGGTAGGGCGCGGAGGGGCGTGCATGCGAGCAGTGTGAGCTATGGAGGCGCGGTGCTGGATGGGACAGCTGGGGATGGGTGCAGCCCGGACCTTTGCTTCGCGAACAGCACTGGTGGTTACCGTGACAGCAGCGGCAGTGACCGTACCAATAGTGGTGGTAACCGCAATAGCGGCGGTGGGAGTGCAGATTCTGTTAAGGTCGCACACAAGGCAGAGAAGGCGGAAAACGCAGACAAGGCAAGCAAGCCAGACAGGCCGAGGAGTGCAGCAGGCAAGCCAGGGGATCCGGACAAGTCAATCAAATCAAAGGAGTCAAAGGAGTCAAGCGAGTCAACCAGAGGTGATAAATCCCGGGCACTTCACCGCGCTGCCTCCCAGGGGAGGGAGATTGACCGAGCCAGCCTGGGGTGTGGCAGCCCTGAAGCAAAGCTCGGGGGGAGGAGTCACACGGAAGGGAGGGAGGAGACGAAAGAGAGGATGATGAGAGAGAGGAAGAAGGGAAGGGGGGGGAGTATAGGCGGGGGTGCTGATTTGGGAGGATTTAGTCCTGAGGCGAAGCTGGGGGGGAGGAGTAACACGGAAGGGAGGGAGGGGATGGGCGAGCGGGTGAAGGGGAGGATGAGAGAGCGGAGGGGGAGTGTGAGTGATGTTGACGGTTTGGGTGGATTTGGCGTTGAGGCGAGGCTGGGAGGGAGGAGTCAAACGGAGGGGAGGGATGAAATGTTTGAGAGGGCGAAGGAGAGGAGGCGGGAGAGGGAGAAAGGGGGAGTGCAGGGTGTTGGGTCACCCAGGCATCCCAAGCAGAAGCACCGACCTCCGATTAGTTCTGGCCTTGCCCATGAGCACGACCCTCCGCACGAGCATCATCAGCAGGATAATCAAACTCAGCAGCAGCAGCAGTCGGGACATCAGCAGGCTGAGGGCAACAGTGATGATCAAGAACGGGAGGAGGGGCAGGACGCGCCTCCCATAAATGTGCCTCCCTCAGATGCGCCCTGTGAGGACTGGTCCCGCAGCATCAGCCTTGCCCATACTCTCAACAACCCCCATGGCTCCCCCGCTCCTCCCCATGCCTCTGCTTCTCACTCCGCTCATGCTGCTGCTTCTTCTTCTGCTGCTGATGCTGCTGCTGCTGATGAGGACGATGATGGTGTCGATTCTGGCTTCACCTGTTTCGATCCTTCCTTTGACGGAATGCTCGCTTCTCATGCCGCCGATCCTTCCAGCATCGGGAATCGGTCGGACCTGGCTTCCGAACCTCTCTCCAGCTTCCGGCTCGGCCCTGCTGACCCAGACCTTGCGAGCCCCAGGTTTGGTCCGGTGAAGAAGAAGGAGCGTTTCTCCGGACCTGGGCAGCAGGTTCGGCAGGATGATTCGGAGCTGGGAAGCTCAGGTTCGGAAGCCACAAGTCCGGATACAGGCAGTGAGAGTGATCGCAGCAGAGGCAGAAGCAGAAGCAGAAGCAGGGGTGATAGTAGAAGCAGGAGCAGCAGCAGGGGCAGCGATAATAATGAGGGCAGAGGAATGCAGCAGGAGGATGAAAGTGACAGCAGCAGGCGTGCTGGTAAGGAAAGGAAGAGCAGTGAGGGGCGGAGCAGAGAGCACGCAAGCAACAGAGACAGTGCTCCTGATCGTACCAGAGAAACGGGGAACGCGCCTAGTAGCAGAGACGGCATGAAAGCACGGAGAAAGAGCATGGAAGGCGGGGCAGCATTGGCTAAGTCCCAGGAGGAGGAGCCGGGTGTAAGTGCTGCAGCTGATGTCACACTAGCGCTCTGGTGCTTAAGAGAGTCTCTTAGTATGCAGCGGCAGCAGGAGGAAGAGGAGAAACTCGCGAGGGGAAGCAAAGGCGAAGGTGCCGGTGGAGAGGGGGGCAGAGCGGTTGGAGGGAGTGCAGGGGGTGTTTCTGACGCTGGGGTGCAGGGCAAGGGAGGCGAGGTGGATCGCAACAGAAGCCCTCTGCGGAGGTTTCTCGGCGCCTTGTCACTTGATATATCTGCTGCCCATGTGCCTGTTGTTGCTGCTGCCCCTGCCGCATTTGGCGGCCTTTATGCCAGCGGATTCCCTGCTGCTAGCGCCTTACCCACTAGCATTGTTTCAAAAGCAGAGGGTCGCAAGCAGGCAACGCCGGGGGAATCTGAGGAGCAGGTGAAGCACAAGAATCAGCACCCGCAGCAGCAGCAGCAGAAGCCGCAACAAGAGAGGCAGCAGGCAGAGCAGCACCAGGAGGGGGGGGGTCGAAACCGCAGCCCCATGCGTCGCCTCCTCCGTGCTCTCTCCATAGAAGCTTCCACGGAAGCCGCAGCGGTGGTTGCAGCTCTTCAGTCCTCCTCTGCTGCCGCTGTGCCTCTCGCCTCCGCCCCCTCTGCTACCCGCGCATCCCACCGCTACCCGCGATCGCAATCCCTCACCACTAAACTTACGAGTAGCATTAGCATCAGCAGCAGCAGCAGTATTGGCGGGGATAGCAGTGGCAGCGCTGCTGCTGCTAATCGCTCTGGTGGTGGTGGTGATGGTGGCAGTGGCAACAGTGGTAGTGGCAACAGCAGCAGCAAGGCACGAAGTGGTGGTGGTGGGGGTGGAAGTAGCAGCAGCAGTCACGGCCACAGTCGCAGCAGCAGCGCCATTCTCAGCCTAGGATCCAGCAGCAGCGGCAGCAGCAAGCTCAAGAGCAGCAAAGAGGAGAACGACGCCGAGCTAAAAGCAGCACTCGAGGCTTTTAGAAAGAGGGTGGAGATGCTAAGTGACACGTGTCACTTAACTTATGCTGCTAACGTTGGTGCGCAAGGGTCAGGAGGAGGGGGTGGAGGGAAGAAGGGAGGGACGTGGAAGCCAAGGCTGCCAGATGTGAAGGAGGTGGAACAGCCTAACAAGTCTTTAGCGGGTTCGTTGTCGTTTCATGCGGACAGGCGTAGGGCTTTGTCCGATCAGCTTTCTCTGTGGATTAAGTGAGAAACTGGTACTGCATTGAGAGGCAGAAAGGAGGGACATGGAAGCCGAGGCTGCCAGATGTGAAGGAGGTGGAACAGCCAAACAAGACTCTTGCGGGCTCATTGTCGTTCCATGCGGACAGGCGACGGACCCTGTCCGATCAGCTTTTTCTGTGGATTAAGTGAGAAACTGGTATTGCTTTGGGAGGCATGAAAAGGGTCATACCATACATAATATTGCTCGTGAGCAAGTACCTAGGTGAGCCAGGTGTGTGAACTTCTGTCCTACTACCGCGCGTACTACCAAGCGCTTCTTGGACTCGTGAACTTGAGATGTACGAGTATTTAAGTTTTGTTGATGTTTTTAGGGAAACGTGCATCAACTTTCTGCCAAATGAATACAAGGCAGATTGTGGGTGGGCTTTGTACGATAATTGGGCTACATACATCGTCAGACTTATCTTGAGAGTGCTCCAGATACGGCTATGTACACTAAGAATCTTGTTCCATTGATATTGTACCAAATCTCTCAAATGGATCCTCTAATCTGGATATTATGTCAAGAACGCGTATTGCGTGGCGACACCAAGATTCACGGCCCTAGTCAGTACCCGCAGCAGCAACATGGCGCCACGTATTGCGTTCACGTTTCGCATCGTCTCGCTACTCCCGTCGCTCAATCTCGAAAATCGTGAGGGCATTCTGCGGGTTCAGAGTTACCACAAGTTCCTTCATTGTAAGGAATTTTCCGGATTCCTTACTGGGTCACACTGTACGCGTACAACCCCGACTTTCGGAAAACCAGGCTCGGCCCGCCGACCTCGCCTTCCGAGCCACCACCGCGTCGCTTTCGGGTTTTCCAACCCCGAACCTGCACCCAACCATCTCGCGACCCCGCGACCTCGGCCTAGCTAGCCTTGCTATATTGTGCCTAGGCCTCGTTGTTCATTCAGACATTGTAATCATTTCCGCATTATTGAGTTCTGCGCACTCTTTCCTTTCACAACTTATAACACTTGGTATCAGAGCCTAAAGTCCTAGGTTACCCTCGCGTTTCCGGGGTAGTTTGTAGAAGGGGAGCGATAGACTTGGTGGGCTGTTAAGCGGTCGGCCCGTGGAATAGATCTGATTATTCCACTCCGACTATGATAGCATTAACGCCTTCACCGAAGTCAGAAAAATCGCGAGCCACCCCCTGCCCGTTCGACGAAGCCTGAGGCACATGGAGCAGGCCGAGTTCAACGAGTTCATGCAACAGTTCCGTGCGATGCAGGCCAACTTGCAGGGTATGACTGCAGAGATGGAGCGTCTACGGAAGGAAAACGACGAACTACACCAGGCGCGTGGTGAAGCGCGCCAGGAGTCGCCTGTCGTGGACGACGCAAGTAGCAGCACTACACCAGATGAGCGGGTCTGGAGCGAGCTGGAAGGCGAGATGGATGCGGACGAAGCGAGGCAGGCGCAGCAGGAACAGTCGCCACAACAATCGCGTGCAGTACCACCACGTGCAGCAGCGACGACGACGGCGACGCCAGCAGCAATGCCAATGGCCCCGATGGCAGCAACGGCTTTTGTGAAAATCAAGCCGACAAACCCGCCCCCATTTAACCCGAGTGACAAGTTTGTCACTGTTTCCGCATGGTTATTCGGTGTGGAGGTGTTCTTTAATGCTGCTATGATTTATGACGACGCCACCCGCATTAATTTCGCAGTTTCACTGTTGCGAGGACCTGCGCTGGAGTGGTGGAGGCGAACGCTGCAACACGAAGGGACTTCGGCAGGAATAGCACGTGCGAACGACGGGACTTCAACACCTGTCACGCATCAGGCAACATCGATTTTCGGGACGGCCACGATACGCACATGGAAGGAGTGGGGCGCCGCCTTGCGAACCAGATTCGAGCACGTATCCGCCTCGGACTCTGCTCGCATGCAGCTGCGTACCTGGAAGCAGCTGACTTCAGTCCAAGACTACACCAGCAAATTCTGCAACTTGGCGGACCAGGTGGACGACATGAGCGACGCGGAGCGGTTGGATCGCTACGTGGCGGGCCTGAAATACGAGATACAGTACGAGGTCCGACGAACCCGGCCACGCAGCTTCAACGACGCCGTCCGGGAAGCCGAGTCAACGGATGCGCTGATGCAGTGGGCGAGATCGAGCTCCCGGGAGGGCCCTCGATTTCGTGGACCGACTCAGCAGCCCACGATCAACGGCGTGGATGCACCTAGCCGAGCCCTTGGGCCATGCTTTTTATGCAACCAGCTGGGCCACCTGAAAAAAGACTGCCCGAGGCTTAAGCAGGGGAAGAAGAACGACGGAGAAGGGTCGGGAAAAGATACGAGTCAGTAGCAGACGGGCCACCTACTGACGAGACCCTGTCGCCCGACAATCACCATCCACACCGGGTCGTGGTACCGATCAGCGCTATCGACCAGAACCGGACGAATAACGTGGGTGAACACGTGGACTACCCTGTGCTGGTGGTAGGGAGGGTTAACGGTTATAAAATTAAAATCTTCGTTGACGGTGGGGCGAGCCACAGTCTCGTCAACCTGGCAACGGTAAAAAAAATGGGGGTGAAGCTGACCAGGTGTCTGCCAGAGATCGATGCAAGGTTGGTGGACGGGACACCGCTGGCCATCCGAGATGAGGCGCGAAAAAATCGGATACAGTGCGGCGACAAATTCGGGTTTGGCATGAGGATGTTGGCGACGACGTTAGACGGCTGCGATGTGCTGCTGGGGAGGGATTGGCTGCAGCGCTTCAATCCGACGATCGACTGGACGACTGGGGCGTGCGTCGTGCGAGGATACGGAGGGAAGACGACGCTTCCGAAATGGACGGAGCCGGAGCCGGTGACGACACGTGTCAACGCGGTCAACATGCAGCGTGCGATGAACAGCGGAGCTCAGGCCTTCTTAGTGCACCTGTACGAAGTGGCAGCTTCCGAGAAAATCGCGGACATCGACACCCTCTGCGCGGCAGTCCCCGAGGAATTGGCGAGCATTATTCGGAAGTATCCCGAAATTTTCGCGGATGACCTCCCGGATGGTTTGCCCCCCCAACGACCTGAGGATCATCGGATCCAGCTGGAGCCCGGCGCGCAACCTACTGTGCGGACACAGTGGCGGCTCAGTCAACCAGAACTCGCCGAGTTGCGGGCCCAGCTGGATTACCTGTTCGCCAAGGGATTTATCCGGCCCAGCACGTCGCCGTATGCAGCACCGATACTGTTCATGCCGAAGAAGGACGGTGGCCTACGCATGTGCATTGATTATCGGGCGCTGAATCGGGTCACGATAAAGTCGCGTTACCCGATCCCGCGAACCAACGATCTGCTGGATCAACTTCGCGGAGCTCGATATTTTTCGAAAATCGACCTGCGAGGAGGCTACCACCAAATTCGCGTATTCGCCGACGACTGCCCGAAGACCGCTTTTCGCACACGCTACGGCAGTTACGAGTTCACAGTGATGCCGTTCGGCCTGACAAACGCGCCCTCGACGTTCCAGCTCACCATGAATGGATTTTTTCGGGACATGCTGGACAAGAAGGTCATCGTGTACCTGGACGATATACTGGTGTACAGCGCGACAAAAGAGGACCATCTGCGGGATTTAGAGGAGGTGTTCCGGCGTTTACAGGGGCATCGGCTAATTACAAAGGGGTCTAAGTGTGAATTCCTGAAGCCGGAATTAGAGTTTTTGGGGCATGTGGTTTCTGGCGAAGGGATTAAAATCGACCCGCGTAAGGTGGACGCCATCGTTCAGTGGAAGCCGCCTACTAATATCCCTGAGTTGCAAAGTCTTCTGGGGTTTGTTAACTACGTTCGTCGTTTTGTACCCAATATGGCAGGGATAACCAAGCCGCTGACCGACCTGCTGCACCACGACAACGATTTCAGGTGGGGGGAGAGGGAGCAATCCGCCTTCGACGCCCTCAAAAACATTTTGGGTTCACCCCCGGTACTCCGCCTCGCCGATCCATCTCGACCGTTCGAAGTCGTCACGGACGCCAGCGATTTCGCCGTCGGCGCCGTCCTGCTACAAGACTTCGGCCAAGGGCTGCAACCCATCGCCTACAAGTCACGCAAGATGCAGCCACCTGAGCGCAACTACCCAGTCCACGACAAAGAAATGCTGGCCATCGTCCATGCATTTCGCGTCTGGCGCTGCTACCTCACAGGAGCCGACGTGACGATTCGGACCGACCATAAATTGCTACAGTACATGCGCACGCAACCGACACTCAACCCGCGACAAATCCGGTGGTTGGACTTCCTCGAATCCAATTTCCAGTACACCATCACGTACAAAAAGGGCGCCAACAACATCGCCGACGCCCTTACCCGACCATCCATGCAAAACGCGGCAGTACTAATCGCCCACACCAACCCGATGCTAACAGGACTATTCACCCACGGCTACAAGATCGACAGGTTTTTTCGGAACCCGCAACAACAGGCTACTACACCGCACGGCAAATACTACCTAAAAACCGGTACGAACCGGATTTGGGTACCAGCATACCAGCCTTTACGGGAGCTGCTGACGCAGGAGGTTCACGACTCCAACCTCTCCGGGCATTTCGGCACCGACAAGACACTGAAGCTGCTGCAGCGGAATTATTACTGGCCGGACATGCAGACCGATGTGCAACGCTACGTGTCAACTTGCCCGACCTGCCAAGCAATGAAGTCGTCGCGACAAAGGCCAGCCGGACTGCTGCAACCCCTCGCGCCACCCGAACGACCGTGGCAACAGGTGACGATGGATTTCGTCACGGGGCTCCCAGCTGGCACAAGTGGCAACGACTCGGTGTTGGTCGTCGTCGATCGCCTAACGAAGATGGCGCATTTCGCCCCATGCCGAACGACGATCACAGCCGAAGATACAGCCAAACTGTTCATCTCCACCGTCGTACGCCTACACGGGTTACCTTCGGCGATCATCAGCGATCGTGATCCGAAATTTACGTCGAAGTTCTGGCAGGAAACGTGGGCACAGTACGGTACCCGCCTGCAGTTTTCGTCGTCATACCACCCGCAAACCGACGGACAGACGGAACGGACAAATCGGACCATGGAACAGCTGATTCGCACCAACTGCCCCGACATTCGCAAGTGGGAAGATTCGCTGCCGATGCTGGAATTCGCGTACAACAACGCCCCGTCGGCCACGACTAAACAATCACCCTTCTTCCTGAATTACGGGATAGACCCCGTGGTACCCTCTTCAACGACTGTGGACAACCCGGTACCAAGATCGCAGCAGTTTGTCACGGAACTGCAAACCGCCCGAACGAAAGCAGCCGATTTCATTCGCAAGGCTAATACCACGGCCAGTCGCCAGGCGGATAAACACCGACGAAATTTACCCTTCCGCACAGGGCAGGTTGTACTTCTGGACACCAAGAACCTTCGGCTGCCGCAGCCCGCGAAATTACGGCCCCGATACGTGGGACCATTCCGTATCATCCAGATGGTGACACCTGTCACCGCGAAGCTGCTGCTGCCCGACGATTGGAAAATCCATGACGCCTTCCACGTCAGCCTGTTGCGTCATTACGAACAGCCGCAGTCGCCAGCTGTTGCTCGACCAACCATCGCGCCGACCACTCGCCCCGTGGCAGAGCCAACGCTGGAACCTTGGAAGATTCTTAACCATCGCGTGGATGTGACTGCCGCCGGCCGCTCGGTGAAATTCCTGCTTCGCTGGAAAGACCGCACGAGCGAGGACGACACGTATGTCGCTGCTGATTCGCTACTGGGACACCCGGTTTTGGACGTTTACCTGGCCCGCCGAGGTGTTTCGGATATTCACCACCTTTCTTAAAGGGGGGGGTAGTGTAAGGAATTTTCCGGATTCCTTACTGGGTCACACTGTACGCGTACAACCCCGACTTTCGGAAAACCAGGCTCGGCCCGCCGACCTCGCCTTCCGAGCCACCACCGCGTCGCTTTCGGGTTTTCCAACCCCGAACCTGCACCCAACCATCTCGCGACCCCGCGACCTCGGCCTAGCTAGCCTTGCTATATTGTGCCTAGGCCTCGTTGTTCATTCAGACGTTGTAATCACTTCCGCATTATTGAGTTCTGCGCACTCTTTCCTTTCACAACTTATAACATTCATTCTTGGGGAATCTCCACACCAGACCAAACTTCTCTTGCAAGCAGCATTCTGGCCTGGACTATGTAGCAGTCTCACCGCTACACCGTAGAGAATGTTCTAGACTGGCCACTTCGCTTCGCAACTGAAAGTAGCGGATTATTCTGGGCTTGACATTGTTATCGATTGTAGGCTATAGCTACTATAGCGGGATTGCCGCTGCTGCTGCTTCGCGAGTGCATTCCGCCTGGTGCAGCGCCGTACCTTTTACCCGTTCTCGAATCCCCATTATGGAGCGTCTCGTTGTCAGCTCATGCGCGCTACCGTGCAGTGCAGCCTCTGCTGCTGCTTCGGCGCCTATGTTTGCATCGACTGCCGGAGACGGCGCTGCTTCGCGGAACGTCCGTCCGGTATCCGCCGTCCATCGGCAACAATCCCATCTGCCACGTGTGCAGACCAGTCGAACCCAAGGTCGCCACGTGGTTAAACTCCGCGTCCCCATTGGACAGTAAGTGTTCGTCTGTGCGGTCTGTGGTTACAGATTCGCCATATAGTCGTCAAATTCTCGCTCCATCTCGCTACCTGCATTTGAATTCACACGCAAAAATCAGGCATTTGTTATGTTTTTAGTGTAATTAAAACTTACCTTTGGTCGAACCAAAAGTCCATTATCCACCAGTTTGTCTCTGGTTCGAATAAGTTTTCCATCCTTCCCACTTCGCAACATCCCTCCGTCTGCTCAATTTATAAGGCTCGCCGCGGCGCGGTTCATCCCGTCGTCTCTACACTCCGGCTCCACCCGTCGCGTACACTGCAACGCGTCTGCTGGTAACGCGGACGGAACCGGGTCTAGCGACGACAAAGGGGAGGGGGAGGGGGGAGAAGAGACGGGAAAGGAAAGAGGACGCTTTGAAGATGATGAGAATACAGATAAGAGATCGGATGATGCTGTATCTGGTGAGCGCAAGGACAAAGTCGAAGATATTACTAGCGGGGACGTCTTTAGCGAGGATGAAAGCGCGGACATTGTGAGCAGCCTGGGGGATTGGCGGGAGTTCCGCGCGCGTCTGATCCGCGGGGAGGTTGGGGTGGCGGGGGAAGAGCCTGGCGCGTCTGGAGCAACGGACGGTGGAGATGCGTTGACAGGGAGCACATCGACGGCTGGAGATTTGCCAAGCTTGGAAGATGTAGCAGCAGGCTCAAATGCCGCAGCAGCAGAATCAGCAGCAGAATCAGCAGCAGGAGCAGGAGCAGCAGGAGCAGCAGGAGCAGCATCAGGAGGAGAAGCAGGAGGGGACGCGGAAGCAGAGGAGAGAAGAAGCAATATAACCTCCCCACTTCCTTCCTCCTCCTCTCCTTCCTCCACCTCTCCTTCCTCCTCTCCCTCCTCCCCCTCCTCTTCCTCGCCCAAGTCGTGGGCTCACCCCATTGCAGTGCCTGAGACGGGGTGTGTGCTGCTGGCGCATCCCCGGGCGTTCGGCGTGTCTCAGCAGTACTTTAACCGTGCTGTGATCTTCCTTCTCATGCACGGGTGAGAGCGAGAGAGAGTGGGTGAGGTGATGAGTGAGGGAGGAATTGTTGAGAGATAGTGAGGAAGTCAGGGAGTGAGGGAGTGAGTGTGTGTAAGGGACAAAGAACGAGGGAATGCACTTGTACAAGAAGCTCAGATACATTTGTTGCAAATGAATTTAATTCAGTGGAGGGATGCTTATTCCACTTCACTCGATAGCGCTGCGTTTCGGGTCTCCCACCCTTCCCATTCCTCTCCCTTCACTTCCACCCTCGCCCCCATGCCATGCCTCCAGGCCACAAGGCACTGCCGGCGTGATTCTGAACAGGTATGTCCCACCACCACACCATCCCACCATCCCACTATCCCACCATTCCACTATCCCACCATTCCACCATTTCACTATCCCACCATCCCACCATCCGACTATCCCACTATCCCACCATCCGACTATCCCACTATCCCACCATCCGACTATCCCACTATCCCACCATCCCACTGTTCCCAATCTCTGTCCGGCTTCTCTTCATTTTCTCACCCCGTTCCCTCACCCCCCACCTTCCCTCTCACCACCCCTGCTTTCCCCTATGCGCCCTCTCCTTCCGCTTGTGGCCCATTCTGCCTTCTCTCTCCCTCTCTTGCTCTTCTCAATCCTCCCAGACCCTCGCAGTACACGCTCGGGCAGCTTGCAGGATTCGAGGAGCTCCTGCCGGAATTTTCAGCCTGCCCGTTGTATCTGGGCGGCGATGTCGGCTCTACGTCCACGCACTGCCTGCACGGGGTGGCGGATTTGGTGGGGGGGGAGGGGGGCGCGCGGGAGGTGTGTCCAGGGGTGTATGTGGGGGGGTACTCGCGGATCAAGGAGCATGTGGGGAGCGGGCAGAGCAATAGCATGGACTATCGATGGTTCGCCAGATATGCTGGTGAGTGGTGTTGGGGGGGAGACGGAAAAACTGGAGAACGGGGGCAGGGGGGCATGGGGGCACGGGGGCACGGGGGCACGGGGGGCCATGGGGGATTTCTTTTCTTGAAGTTCAAAATTCTTCCCTCCTGTATTCCCTTTTCAGGCTACGCCCAGGGAAGTTGGAGCAGGGGTGTGGAATCTGCGAGCATGCTCGCCAGACCTCATCCTGTGCCTCAAAAGACGGCCCCCAAGGCACCTAGAGGCCTTTTCTTTCTCACATTCCCTTCCCCCCCGCGTTGCCTTTCCCTCCCCCAGGCTGAGCGCCGGGGCAGTTGGAGAGGGAGGTGGCAGCAGGGGTGTGGTACTTGGGAGCATTCATCTCCATTCACAGTCCCTTTTTTCCGTGCATGTCCTTTACCCCTCACACCGATACCTTTCCCTCCCCAGGCTGGGCGCCAGGGCAGTTGGAGCGTGAGGTGGCAGCAGGGGTGTGGTACTTGGGAGCATGCTCGCCAGACCTCATTCTCAGGCATTCCCTGAGAGAAACTATCACGGTAGAGAGTGCAGGCGACAGTGCCAGTAGCGAGATTGACAGTATCGAGGCGGCGGAGAGGGGTGGTCAGAGCAGTGAGACAGGTGGTGTGGTAGGGAGGAGAGAGGGAGTGGTGGGAGTGAGTGGGAACACAGGGCTGTGGAGGGAGGTGATGGAGTTGATGGGGGGAGAGTATGCTCTCCTGTGTAAACAGGCTGATGGGGAGCTGTAGGATAGGTTGAATGCTACAGAAACGTCTTTGTCGATAATGATAGCTGTCATTACACCGTGAGCGGAGGTTGGCAATATTCACAATATAGTTATGCTAGTTAGGATGAGAAAAGGAGGCAGGCACTGCAAACGATTAGGGCGTGTAAAATCCCCGTGCAAGTGCGAAGTTGGGGTTTGGCCGAAATTTCGTCGACCATGTGATCGACATTTCTTTCACGAAAGTCGACTTGGTGGCCGAATTCGAGTCGTCCAGTTTTCAGCCACCATTTGCAGATTTGCGGATTTTACAGCTCTGGTGGCCGATTTGCAGGCCAGTTCGGAGAAGTTGTACAATCTGGAGTTACTACAGTGGCTGGGTATGTTCGACGGGGTCGCACATTTGACGGCGAAATTTATCATTTGACACGATCACAAATTCTGTCGTTCGGTGATGCCGTGCGACATCGCAGGCGATTGTCGCCCACTATGTCGACTACTTGGCCGTTTTGGAGGCGATCCGGCGTCGTTTTCGTGTCGACTTATTAAAACCGGGGTGCACATTCAGCTGAATGTGCATCAAAGGTTATCCCTTGACTGAGTGGGTTACGAGGTGTGCTTTCAACCCCTTCAAGTCGAAATTCGTTTCCCCCCTCCCCCGCAATTTCGTTTCCCCACGCCCCCGCAATTTCATTTCCCCCTCCCCGTCGAAATTCGTTTCCCCCCTCCCCCGCAATTTTGTTTCCCCCCTCCCCCGCAATTTCGTTTCCCCCCCCTCCCGCCAATCTGTTTCATCCCTCCCGCCATTCGGTTTCACCCACTCCCGCCATTTCACCCCCTCCCGCCATTTCACCCCCTCCCGCCACCTACGAAATGCCCGAAGCTCTAGCGGAATCATTTTTTTGTCGCCCCTCGTGAGCCAATCACTGTTTTTCTCCAAACCCCCTTCCCAACATCTCAAGCCGAACCGCGTTGAATGTGCACCCTGGTTTTAAACGGCCATCAAATTCGTTAGTCTTTTGCGAAATTGACGACAGTAGCCACTCGACTGACGAATCTCGCAAACTTGTTACCTTCGCAAAAACGGGCCGACGGATTGTGGCCGAATTTTCGGAGTTCCCGATTTTACACGCCCTTAGTGGCACCAGGCATCCTACGAAGGATGGCATCAGTAATGGACTCCTCTTTTCGGGACACAACACATCATCCCTGGATTTTTTAGACGATTCATGATGCAGTTATTTGTTTATTACGATTCATAACAATACAGGGCAAAGCTACACCCACAGAAAAGGAGGCTGCTGCATGCAAGCCTGAATTCCACGTCTGGTTCAAGAAGAGTAGGGATGGTGGTTCGCCTGAGGAAGGAGAGATGCGGCAAACGAGATGCCGCCGTTGCCCCTTACGGGAGAAATCGCTCCGCCACTCGCTACTTTGGCAATGGGTGCAGTTAGTTCCCCAGTAACACATCCTCTGTATTTGGCTCCGTAAATTCGCTTTCGTTCGTACACTCTTCGCAAGAAGTGCCGATTTTGCTCGCAAACAGCATCTCGTCGGTGAACAAGCCGGCGTCGTCATCCGAGAAAGCAGCGTCGTCCAGATCGTCAAGCCCGAGATACGCGTCGCAAATGCTCGCCACGGGTAATCGGTCGAGAGCGAAACTCTTAGCCCGCCGATCGCGCACTTCGCCAAAATCAGAGGACCAATTATAGTGATTGAATGTTGGCCCCGACATTCGCGGTTCAGACGCCTGCTTGCTCAGGTACCGCGGGCAGGAAAAAATGAGCTGCTTCGGCTCGCCGTTGTAGTCTGCTCCGTTACCGTAAACATCGTCGACATCGTAGCAGGGTTCGGTTACAGAAATTTCTCCGCTGAGGCTGTTACTCTTCCCCTGCCTGGCCCAGCACCAATCACGCAAGCCAGCCTCTTCCGGATGTGCCTCGAAACGCCCAGCGTCTTGCGATCGCGAGCCTTCATCTCGTTGACGCGAGTTCGCGAGCGACACGGTGCATGGCGAGCCGAGTGAGCAGCCGAGAACGCGGGAGCGCAATTCGCGGAAGCTCCGGGCTCGCGATGGGGAGCTCTCCGCAGGCGACGGCGGCGAGGATGTGAGACGGACGGCAGTTTCTTCGAAGCGGCTCTGGTGACGCGGCGGCGGAACCCCGATCGGCAACTCACTTTGGGAACGTGCGTGGCGCTCATTGGTGCGTTGCTGGTGGACCGACACATGGCTAAATTGCTCCGCTAGCCGCGCACATTGCGGAAATATCTCATCATAATTAATGTCCCACGGATTCAGAGGGGCCCCTTTCTCGGGTTCGTCTGCCGTTGCAGGGGACTCGATCTTAAGCGGACTCACGCGCCGCCTGAATGCGTCAAGCGAGCTTTGCCGGTGAAGCGGTAGGCTGGCGGCTCGAGCTAGCGAGCCTACTGGTGGAATGCCTGTGCGTTCGCAGTGAGCAGCAGCCATCGAGAAGACGAATTGAAGACAAAATACTTCAAATTCACAACCTAAAGCGTATGACAACACCCGAATGGTGCGAGAAATGTGGTTGGAGCTAACAAAAATTATCACTGATTCAGATCAGAGGGCTTAGCTAGATTTTGTTTGTAGAGCTCGGGTGGAGGGCTTACACGTGATCATCTGTGGGGGCAACGTCAGGACCAAACTTTACCGTTCTGTAACCTATTACACCGCCTAACATCCCAATATAGCTTCTGGGATCCCTAGTCAATCATCCACTTCTCTGTGCAACACTCCAGATGCGCCATCGAGATCGTTCCATTCCTTCTCAACTGCAGATGAGCTGGTCCCTCTCGTCCACCCCACTTTCCTCTGACCCGCCTTGCACGCTTGCTTCTGTTCGCGCAGAATGGCAGTTTTTCGCGCGTGAGACAGGCAGGTTGAGCTGTGCGTCCCCTGGGCAGATTCAGTTTATGGCAGTTTCTAGATTGGCTGACATGGAAGGGACTTTCGGCAACAGCAACATTCTGGTAATGGTCTGAGTCATGCCCATGTCATCACAATCGCACAATCACTTCGTGGCGATTTTGCACGTGTAAAGACGGTCCGCGAGTGTCCAGCGAACGGCGTTATCGTCGCGAACATTCGCGACAGCATCTAGCATGCGAAAGGCAACTGCTTTTGGCACCTTTTTCTCGAGGGAATCGCGATTCGCCTCATCAGGAAGGGCATGCGGACGATTGCGTGTTGGCTCGCTCTCCAACAGTGTGGGAATTACACCCTCATTCTCGATAGACTGGCATATGTTATACTGACCGAGACGCTTAGTGTAGCCGCACCGGACCAAAGAAGGTCCTATCACATGCGTTACAGTGACAATTTGACCCAGGTCGTTTAGTCAAGGTTTTCTACGTTCTACAATGGTACTGTTGTTTTCAAAGCGGTCAGGACGGTTATTCAACGTTAATGGTTTTTTACGGCCCAAGGCGTGTTTCAAACCCTCGTGCGACTTTGCCCGCAACCGACTTATCTCACCAGCCCGCTACGTCCAAACACTGTAGCCAGTGCTTCCGCCGGTGAGAGAGTGAGAAAGAGGGTGTATATTGGTTTTGTCGTAAATGGGACCTACCGTGCACAGCGGATTGCTCTTACTGAAATATTGTCAATAAAATGCCAACCTTGGTACAGAACGACTGGTGACAGCCGCAAGAATATTCGGGGCTTCTTTGGCTATATAGCGTAATTGCACATTGGTGAACTTGCATAATATGCTAGCTTACGCAACATTTGATAATTATGACATCATTTATCTATATCGATACATTTTGCATGAATCTCTTGGATACTCGTGTTCACTATGTAAAAAACAGCACGAAAAGTAGCTATCGTCTGTGTCTCACATTCTCTATTGTTGCTCGTGATGTAGTTTACAAAATAAATTCTAAGCACAACTCCACCAAAACGTTTGCGATTGTTCTGAAATAAACGTTTATTATCTCTGGCAACACCCACTGCTGTAGGCAACAATGGAGAGGACCACTCTCGCTCGATGACAGCTGTAGTGTGGCGCTCATGTGTCCCTACCGGAAACGACACAAGTGGCAGTTTAGATCGTCTTGTCCGTGAAGCAAGGCTTCGTTCGTCACGTCACGTGGGTGGCATGCGCCCACAACACAACGCAACTTGACCCGATGACAGCCTCCTCAGCATGTGATAGGTTCGTGCTGACTGTGGCAGAACAGCAATAACTGCAGAAGGGACGTCCCTTGGCGGGAAACCACATGCCCAGACCAAAGCTTGGTTTGGAGCCACCCAGACGAGGAATCAATAAATGTGAAGTTCGACAAACTCTTTACTGGTTATACATCGCCCTGAAAGTATACATTTCACTAATAATTTTTTCTTGCGACCAATCTATAATCCTTTCCAGCAAAATGCTGGAACTTGGAGCTTGTAGGGAGTCTATGCTATCGTTTTAGTCATCTAGCCCAGGATGCCTGGGCGGTGTAGAGTGGCGTCAATTCCTCCCTCTTATTGAGGGGTGTCTTCGTAGCGCTCCTGGTACAAAACAAATGCAGCATGAGGGGGGGAGGGGGGGGGATGAATGGAGTTTTTTTTTTGTTTGCACATTGGGAGAAATTCCCCGGGACGGCTAAGAACCCTAACAAATATTACCATACGCAAAACAACCAAATCAAGCCCGCAAAACATTTGAACCAACCAACTCCACATCATTTAAGTCCATGACGGCATTCACCTAAAACCTTCTTACCGCATCACCCCAACATGCATGGGCACTCACCCTGGGGTGTGCATGTAGTTGCATATCAGAAGCTCCTGGAAGCAAGGGCACAGGGAAGAGGGCAACGCAGCAGGGGAGGTCAGAAGTTCAATAAAGAGAAGAAAGATAGCTCCTTTCCAGCTTTCCTCTACTTCCATCCCTAAGCACCCCCATGCCAGCAAACCACCCAATCCACCACCCCTCTTTTCCCATCTCTCCCCTCCTCGCCTCTGCCCCCTTCCCTCCCCTCACTCCCCTACCACCCCCCCCCCCACCTTGCCCGTTCCAGTGTGCTCCATCCTTGTTACAATCTCGTTACAATCGAAATTATTTAGGCGCCTCAAACATAGACTCCTCCTCACACGTACCTGCTCGGCCAAACGCTCTCTGCACGCCTCCAGCTCTTCCCTCAGAGCAGCCATCTCGCTACTGTCCCCTCCGGTACAGTCACCACCCACTGCAGCAGAGGCTGCTTGCTGCTGCTCTGCTCTCTCGACAAGACCCTGAAGTGAACCGCAGGGCGGGCAAATGATAATACAAAATGGAGGATGAAAAACGGAGACAGAAGCAATTGAGTAAACGACGGGACAACATTCTGGGTTCACCGCGGTCCTTCACTTATAATGGATCATTCATTGGGCACCAGATACTCGCATGGCGCTAACAATGCGTTTTGGCAGATCCATGATGTGTGGGCAGGCCTATGTTGGGTGGAAGGAATTAGGCTTGTCAGGTGTGTGCAACATGACATGACAGCTGGACGTGGGAGGGGCGGTACACGGCTGCAGGGCAGCATGTACAGGTCTATGAATGTGTGGGCTGGGCAGGCCATGGCGGGTGGGGGAATGAGCTGGGACAGGCGTGCACAAGGCGGCAGCGGTTCGAAACCATCCTTTTTCAAGGCGACAGCTGGACCCACAAGGTGTTGTGGCACACACTTGCATGGCGATACAAACTCGCATGGTGGTCACAATGCGTTGGTGTAGGTCCATGATGTGCGGACAGGCCATGTTGGGCGGGAGGGCGTACACGTCCTGGTGGGGGAGAGAGGGGGGGCAGACAGGGAGAAGGGCAGGGGTTTAAGTTGCCTAAAGCATGATGTGTGGGGACGGCATGGTGGTTAGGAACACGTACACGTCCTGGTGGCTTTTGAGTTGACTCAAAAGTCACCTTGTTTGTTGGGCGCACGCACGTACACGTCCTGGTGGCGTGGCAGGGAGTCAAGGAGCTGGGAGAGGCGACGCTCGAGGAAAAGAAAGAAATGGCAGGAAAAGAAGAAAGGGCGGAACGAATAAAGAGGTTGGGAAAATCTCAAGGGGCGTGAAACTTGAGCAGACGGATAAACACTCACCATGTTCTCCTCTTCCTCTTCTTCCACCTCCTCCTCCCTCTCCGAACCATTCTCACTCCCTCTATCCTCCTCCTCAGCAACATTCTCAGAATCCCCTTCCTTCTGTTGCCCTTCTCCCCGTTGCTGCCCCTCTACAACTGATGAGGGTAGGCCCTTGCTGTACTCGCTAATGAGTGATTGGAGATCCGACTGAAGGAACACATCCAAGAAACACGGCAATTAGATCCTATAACGGAGCAAGAACAAGGGCACACAGAAAATGAGTGTCATGAGCGTCAAAAGCAAGCAGTGCATGCCAAAAAAAAAAAAACAACAACAACAACAATAAAACCACATATATTGTCCATGTGATTGTACCTGCATGGAGCGAATGACTGCCATGAGCTGCTTGCTGTCCTCCCCCACTGCCCTCAGCTGCCTCTCATGTGCCTCCATCTGCCACCAGAAGATGGGGGAGAGCAAGGCGCACACAAAGTAGGAGGGGTAACAAAGAGGCAAGGCAAGGCAAGGCAAGCATAGTACAGGGCAGGGAGGGGGAGTGCATGAGCTTCTTGCTGTCCTCCCCCACGGCCCTCAGCTGCCTCTCATGCGCCTCCATCTGTTACCAGAGGGAAAAGAAAGGAAAGATGATGCAGAGACAAAGGGTGGTAATGAGCAGCACGAATAGAAAGGGTGTGAGGGTCGCAACAGGATCTGGACGGGTGACGCATGGAGGGGCGATGTGGGGGGCGGGAGGCGGGGGAACAGGAGAGCAATGCGGGAGATTCGCAGCAGATTTTAGTTAACAAAGTGAACTTTTCCAGAAAAGACACGTAGCAGAGTGACAGCCACCACGTGTCACTCAGCAACAGTGACACTTCACAGTTCAACTCTTACCATGCGCTTGTAAAAGTCGCTATCTGTCTTCTTCCCGCCCCATGTGGCCCTCTGCCTGCCCTCTGACTGTAACACACAAAGCACAGAGTTGGGACAAGTAAGAATTGGAAGGGGGGAAGAATCGCACATCTGGCTGCCAGGCGGCGTGCACTCCCCACACGCACAAGTTTAGCCTCTCCCACGCATGCGATTGCCGGAGACCTCGCCTACACTGCGTTGGACGGGGAAGGTTGGCGATGCGTCGGTGTTCCGGGTCTGGGGTTCTCGTGACTTTGTTTGCGATACGTCCGCGGACAAGCTCTCCGCCTGCACTATTCCCTGCGTCTTCCTTGGCTTTCCCCCTGACGCGCCTGGCTGGCAGTTTTACCACCCCACCTCGCGCCGTTTCCTCCCCTCTCCGGATGTCACATTTAACGACTCGGTTCCCTTTTACCGTCTCTTCCCCTACCGCTCTGCCCCTCTCCCCCCCCCCCCCGCCGCTCTTCCTTGCTCCAGGTCCCCCTCCGGTAGACCCCCTCCTCCCTCAGGGTCCTGCTCCCTCAGGGGTGTCTCAGGTAGACCCTCTCCTTGGTACTGTACCTGTTGAGGTAGCTGTCAACTCAGGTGCTGCTCGAGGTGCTGCGTCTGGAGGTGCTGCGTCTAGGGGTGCTGCGTCTGGGGGTGCTGAGCCTGCACGTGCGGAGCCTGGGGGTGCTGAGCCTGAGGGTGTGGGGTCTAGGGGTGCTGAGCCTAGGGGTGCGGGGCCTGGGGGTGCTGAGCCTGAGGGTGTGGAGCCTGGGGGTGCTGAGTCTAAGGGTGCGGAGTCTGGGGGTGCTGAGCTTGAGCTTGCTGAGCCTGCGGGTACTTTGTCTACTGGAGGTCCTCCGGGTGCCTTGTCGCGGCGGGAGCCTCTCTCTCCACCGCAGCTGCGCGAGTGGTTTGCTTGGCGCACCCGCCTTTGGAGTGATACTGCTGGAGCCGCGGGTTCTGCCGCTAGAGACACTGGAGCTGGAGCTGCTGGAGGTACTGGAGCCGCTAGTCCCGGAGGTGCTCTTACTGGAGGTACTGGAGCTGCTGGAGCTGGTGGTGCTGCAGGAGTTGGAGCTGGAGGCACTGGAGCTGGAGCTGCTGGAGACACCGGAGCTGGAGGCGCTGGCCCTAGGGGTGCTGGTGCTGTTGGTGCTGGTTCTGGAGACACTGGGCGGCCTCGACCGTACTTCATTCCCCTGCTTCATCAGGTTCTTGGTCTCCCGTCTTCTCCTGGCCTTACTCCTCCCTAACTGTGTCCACCGCCTGACCAGTCGCAGCCGCCGTTACAGCCAGCCTCCCCACTGCCTGCTCCTTCTCCTTACATTGAGCAGGCCGGAGGTCTTACAGAGCGTCGTGAGCCAGTGTCTCGTCCTGCCTCGCCTGTTCGCGCTGTTCGCACTGGTCGTCATGTTCCTCGTCCGCGTCCTCCTCCTGTCCCCGACACGCACCATATGACACTTCGTCCTTCCTCTGTTCCACAACGTGTCTCCGTGCCGTCTCCTCCTGCGTCCTCTTTTGCTGACGGTCCGGACCCTGAGTCTGACTTAGTTCGTGCTACCAGTCCTACTGTCCCACGTCTACTAGCCACTGTTTTCACTGACCCTTCGTTTGAGTCTGCTGCTGTGTCTGCCCTCGTTGCTGAGCTGGTTGACTTTGCTGCCGCCTGTCGTCTCGACTACGCCGCTAGTCTTGTTGCTGAGTCTGAGTCTAACTATCCTCCGTCCGTCGAGAGTGAGTGTGCTCTTGGCACAGACGTCCTCGAGGACAGGCAGGAGGACTTTGAGTGTTTCGCAGCTGCTGTACCTCATCTCGTGTCCATGCTGATTGCACCTGAGGGAGACCCGGATGCACCAGACATCCCGACCCCGTGCTCTTACGCAGAGGTGATTACGGGTCCCTACTCCTCTCAGTGGCAGGCAGCTATGGATGCCGAGATGGCATCCTGGAAGTCCACAGGCACCTACGTCGACGCAGCTCCCCCTCCTGGGGCGAACATAGTCGATGGCATGTGGATTTTCAGGGTGAAGTGGCCGCTAGGTTCTCCGCCTGTCTTCAAGGCTCGTTACGTTGCACGAGGCTTCAGTCAGCGACAGGGAGTTGACTTCTTCCAGACCTTCTCCCCTACCCCGAAGATGACTACTCTTCAGGTACTGCTGCACGTTGCCGCTCAGCGTGACTACGAGATTCACTCTCTTGACTTCAGCACAGCTTTCTTGCAGGGCAGCCTGCACGAGGAGATCTGGCTGCGCCGCCCACCTGGCTTCACTGGGTCGTTTCCTGCAGGTACCCAGTGGAGCCTCCGGTGGCCAGTCTACGGTCTTCGCCAGGCTCCTTGCGAGTGGCACAACACATTGAGGACTACACTTGCAGCTCTTGGTTTTGCTCCTTCTACTGCTGACCCGTCGCTTTTTCTACGCACCGACACTTCGTTGCCGCCGTTCTACGTCCTCGTGTACGTCGACGACTTGGTCTTTGCCATTGCTAACACTGAGGCACTATCCCTTGTGAAGTCGGAGCTACAGAAGAGACACACCTGCACTGACCTGGGTGAGCTGCGCAACTATCTTGGCTTGCAGATCACCTGGGACAGAGCACGGTGCACCATCACCCTAACTCAATCACACATGGTGCACCAAGTCCTTCAGCTCTTTGGCTTCCGGTACTCCTCGCCACAGTCCACTCCTGTGCCTACCGGTCACTCGCTCTCAGCTCCACCTTCGGACAAGTCCGTTGAGCCGAGTGGCCCGTATCTAGAGCTTGTGGGCTGCCTCATGTACCTGATGACCTGCACTCGACCTGACCTTGCCTACCCTCTTAGCATCCTGGCTCGCTACGTTGTGCCCGGGAGACACCGACCAGAGCACTGGGAGGCCGCTAAGAGGGTGTTGCGCTACTTGTGCAGTACGTCAGGCATGGGGCTCGTGCTTGGAGGACGGGGTCCAGTTGTCCTCACTGGACACGCAGACGCGTCTTGGGTTGACGACTTGGCTACGCAGCGGTCGTCACAGGGTTACACTTTCAGCCTTGGCTCCGGCTCTGTTTCTTGGCGGTCTACCCGCTCATCTTCTGTTCTCAGTTCCAATTGTGAGGCTGAGATCTACGCAGGGGCCATGGCTGCACTGGAGTGTCAGAATGTTATAGTGCTTACAGTTGTGTAGGCTATAGTGGGGTAGCCCATAAGGGGTACAACCCAATTATTGTTTGTACTTGTACCCAACTCTTTCATAGTTCATTCATTCTTGTTCGTTTGTTTGACATGGTTTCAGAGCAGGTCCTTCGTTAGGACCGATTTTTTAGGCCCACCACAGCGCTGCCCCACTAGCCACCCTGCTGCCCGGCACGCTGCCCTCGTGCGGCCTGCCAATCGACCCTAGGCCACGGCCCGTCACCCGTCGCCCCTAGGCCCGTCGCCCCGGCCCGTCTCCCGTCGCCCCTAGGCCCCGGCCCGTCGACCCTAGCCCCGGCCCGTCGCCCGTTGCCCCTAGGCCCCGGCCCGACGCCCGTCGCTCCTAGGCCCGTCGCCCCTAGCCCCGGCCCGTCGCCCGTCGCCCCTAGGCCCCGGCCCCGGCCAGTCGCCCGTCGCCCCTAGGCCCATCGCCCCTAGGCTCGACGCCCGTCGCCCCTAGGCCCCGCCCCGTCGCCCGTCGCCCGTCGCCCCTAGGCCCTGGCCCCGGCCCGATGCCCGTCGCCCCTAGGCCCGTCGCCCATTGCCCCCCTCGGCCCCGGCCCGTCGCCCCTAGCCCCAGCCCGTCGCCCATCGCCCCTAGGCCCCGGCCAGCCCGTCGACCCCAGGCCCCGCGCGCCGCCTCTTGCGCCGCCCCTTCGCCCCTGCAGCCCGCGAGCCGCCCTTGCAGCCCCGCGCGCCGCCCTTGATGGCCCCCCTAGCCGCCCCTGCTGCCTGCTAGCCGCCCCTGCTGCCCTGCTAGCCGCACCTTGCGGCCCTCTCGCAGCCCCGTGTGCCGCCACTTGCGACCCGCCCGCCACCCCTAGGCACTCGAGCCGGCTCTCTTGGAGCCTGCTTGCCACCCCTCTCTGCTGCCTGCCCTGTTCCCTGCGCTTCCCGGCTTCTGCCCGCCCTGCGTGCTGCGCCGCAATGGCTTCTCTCCGCGTTCTAGCGTTCGATCATGAGGGCCGCCCGATCCAGTTTAACACTTGGCTTGACGACCTGCAGCTGTACCTACTGAGCGACTCTAGAGACAGCGTTTAGTTGTTTGACCACACGTCTGGTGCTGCTCCCGCCCCTCCAGCCACAGCTGACAATGCGACTTGCTCACGGTGGCTTACTCGTGATGCTGCTGCTCGCTTAGCCATTCGCAACCACCTGCCGTTAGCTGAATGCGCGAACTTCGGACAGCACAGGCACTGTACGACGCTGTAGTCGCCCGTTACTCCTCGCCTGCCACTGCTGCTCTAGGCCGTCTTCTACTGACCTACCTGTTTCCCGAGCTGTTCGCCTTTGCCACGGTAGAGGACCTGGTTTCCCACCTTCGCACTAGTGACGCTCGCTACCGTGCTGCCGCCCCAGCTGAGTTCCTTGACAGGAACCAGCCCCCGACATTCATCACTCTCTACTTTATAGTCACCCGCCTCCTTGACTCTCTTCGCTCTGTCAGGGACCACTTTCTCTCCCTTGACCCCACAGTCCTCACTGTTGACCTACTCGAGCAGCACCTCCTTGCAGCTGAGACTAGTGTAGTCACTGTAGGTGCTGCTCGTGGCACTCCGTGCATGCCCTTCTTTGAGGGGTGCTCCCCCTCCCCCCTTGCCCCCTCCTACGCCTCTGCTGCTGCTGTTGACGTCCCTGGTGCTGAGGACGTCGGGGCTG